CAGAACCTTACGGTTCTGGCCCCTTTTCCATTCTGGGGGTCATGAGTCCAGTTCCTACTCCACCGGCAAGTCGACTGGAATACGGGAGGAAAGTCCGAGGGCCGGCATTGATTGCTTCTCACCAGAAGGATGTACCAGCGCCCACCCCTGCCTGAGTTAGCTTATTTACTTTAGTTTGGTGGCTAGCACCTATTGAATTGGTTGGAAAGGACACCTCTTCGCCTGTTCCTCTCAGTCCTTTGACTGTCTGATTCACGTTAAGTACTGGAACTGCTGACCTGTCCTTCCCTTTTAGGACTACCTGTCCCTATATCTTCCCTCTTCTAGTTTCTGCTGTCTATGAATGTTTATAGAGCATAAACTATCTAATTTAATAATGCCTTTAACTAGTTCTACCGGGTGCTAAAACCCTAAACCCTATCCTATTTAGCTAGTCTGTCTGCTACATGGTGACTTCCCTCCTTGTGGATTGTGACCCTTATCCTGAATTTTCTCTTTTTACTAACTGTTACTGCCTTTCTGGTAACTGTGTGTAGGGTGAGATTAGTAATAGAATGTTGGGTTGGGTAGGGCATGCGTTTGTGGGTTTAAGTTTGGGGGGTTGGGTTTCCATAGTGTTTAGGAGGGGGTTGGCATGTCTGGCGGGGTTGGTTCGGGACCAGTGTGGTGTATTGTAGGGTGAAGGGCTAGAAGTGAGACAGTTGCGAGGGGGATGAAGGGATTGTGAAGGATGATGCAGTGGTGTGTTTGCTTGTGTCGGAGGTGATGTCTTTGGAGGTTGGAAATTTGTCATAACGTCTGTTAACCAGGTCCGTCTTYAGTTGTTGTTGTTGTTGGAGATATTGGGGTATTCACATATGCCTTAGTTGTGGTAAGCTGAGGTGGTTGTGGTAACCTGAGGTGGGTTAGAAGGAGCTAATTTGGATGCTGATTGAGTCTGGTGTGCTGTTCGTTGGTTCTGGCTCTGGGTTGTTAGTCTGTGCTAGATCATTCCACATTTTAAAGATTAGGCTTTGCCCCTTGATGATTGCTATCTTGCCCTTGTCCAGATAGTTCTCCTCGAATTTGGTTTGAGAATCCTTGGCTTTGGGCTCGTTGGCTTTCATCTTTCTTTTGACTTTGCGCCATAGCACCCAGTATTCCGTTTCTACTTGCTGTTTGAGGATACCCCATGCTTCTTGCACATGCATTGGTTGTTTGTCTATCGTTTCTTGACAACGTTTCC